CTGTGTTTGTGTTCTGCGCACAGGTTTTGTAGGAAAGGTTTTTCTTCTCAGGCCGTCAATTCATTTCCATAGAATACAAAAAAAAATACTAACTGATGCAAATTCGGCGATAATTTTTTTTTTTGTATTTCTAATTTTATGTGTAGTTTTTTTAGCTTCGGATAAATCTACGCAAACACTCGAACCTACCACCTGTTTGTTATAACAAACAAATAAACAAAAAATATCGAATAAACGATTACTATTTACATGATTTTAGACATAGAAGTTCAAACAAATTCAGTATTTTTGTTCAAATCGATTGATTGGTTTAATTGAACAAAATTAAAAAAAAGTATCAATCCACATCCCATTACAAGAAATATCCAATAGAAATATAAAGGTATGTATTGAGAAAAGTCTAGAACAAAAAACGAACGTTTACAAAAATAATATATATGCAGTTGGCTAAAGAAAATGCTCATACGAGATGTTTATATACATAGAGAATTGTGTGAAAACATCGTGTATTTTAAATACAATACGCATACAATGTCTACAATTGAAATTCAATCAATCTCAACGATTAATGAATTTGTTAAATTCAAAACAAAAATGGATAGAAATATGTTGTGTGGCTTCGATTTTTTTTTTCATTCTTGTTGGTTCCAAAGTCATTGTTTCTATATGTTTTTCATTACGTATCAATTGTCATTTTGGTTCATTCAATTTAAGCATGTGTTTGTTTGTTGCACAATAAATTTCAAAAAACAAATCTAATTTAAATGAGTTCTGCATTTTTTTTTATTAGTTTTGTATGTTGTTGTTGTTGTTGTTTGAAGTGTGTGAAATGGGCGGCGTGGGGTGAATATACATTTGATTTTGGACAAAAAGCCATACGAAAAGAAGGAAAACTAAAAAAAGAACAACACTTCACCTACGACGTAGGCCCTACGTTATTATTTATGCACAAAAATATGTGTACATCATCATCTAATTAGTTACATCATCAATTAACGCCCGGAATTAACAAAGGGATATTGCAACTATTTTGACCAGAAAAAACGCCATCTTACGTCGTGCCCGTAAATTATTTCACTGTACATTTAGATGGTAGGACTTGAACAAAAGTTCGAAACTTAAACTTGGAAATAGCTTGATAAACTTGATGAAATACATATATTTTATGGTCGTTGCAATACCCCTATGGGAATTAATTGTAAAAATGGTTTGATTAATTTCCAATAATAAATATTACACAATACTCGATATTTGATCTGAGTGCTTGGAAATACACATGCCGTATACATAATTTTCGTTTTCTTCAATTCTCTCTTTTGTGTGTGTGTGTGTGTGTGTCAAAATGTCTCTTATTTCTCATGTCTTTCATTTCGCCGGTCAGATGAAAACAAAACGTACACCTATCCGATTTTATTAGCTGCAGTATATATATGCGTGTGTTTGGAGGAGTTTTTTTATTTGTTTTGATCTCGGCAGATACAATTTTGATTATAATTTGTTTTCATTTCTTTTGTTTCAATGCGAACTATCTTGTGTGCCATTTCAATAAGATTTTTAATTGATTTCTCTTGAATATATATATAGTTTTATATCATATTTTTTGTTTTGGCTTGTTGTTAGTAAAATGTGTTATTAATTGTCGTTAAATTCTAGTAGAGATGAGGTGTTTAGATCATACTTGAGAGTGAAATGTCCCAGTACACATGGTAGATTACAGGGAAATAACAAAAACAAAATTCTTTTTTATTCCTTATGGTTGGTTGTCGTTGTTGTTTTTTTTTTTTGGAGAAAAAACAAAGAATCAAGATTGGTGCGAATATGTAATAATTATGTATATAGTTGTTATTGCCGCTGGACACATTTGTTTCGATGAAGAACTACTTCTATTTTGGTTGCTGTTGTTGTTGTTGATGTTGTGTGTGCGAAAAAAAGTAAGAAAAAAACATGATCCAGCCAGAGATCAGTGAAGCAAACATTAAGCCAAATGATAAGTTCGTGTCGAGCCGCTCCTCCGATAAAAACAGAAAAAACAAACTGAACCAAGATTTCAACTAAATTGAATCTCTGTGTGTATGTGTGGTTGGTTGTGTTTTCATATGTTTTTGGTATATATCTACTTCGTCGGTGGTAACAGATGAAAGATTCTGTGCTGGTAATTCGGCTTTTGTTTTGTTTTTCTTGGTTTGCCTGTCTATTAGTTTTGTTTGTTTTACCTTCAAAAAAATGTGTGTGCTCATCAATCAAATGCCAACGCTCTCGGTTTGCTTAACGCTCCTCGGTCGAGCAACCGGACAAATACTCGGAAGCATTGCCACGACAAATGGGACAGGTACGATTCGACTGAAAGTGGAAAGGGTTGTTTCGTTTGTAATTAGATTTGGATCAAACTCAATTTAGTGTGGACACGTTTATTTCGCAGAAATGCTCTTAATTGATAGATCGATATACTTACTCGCAACCACTTGTCGACACAGCGAGAATGAAACTCGTGGGAGCATGGCAACACACGGAGCACTTGGCGTATCTCAAAATCACACATGCACACAACGCACGATGTTTGATCACCTGCAGATAAAAAAAAGCATTATATTTTTCCATCTCAAACTGGTTTTCCACAGAAAATCCATCAATTTTGTCTAAATTAATGTTAATTCGTTGATGTGAAATGTCGTTTACCAGTGTGAGTTTCTGGATTATATTTGTAGCTTGGAAGTTGGTCGATTTCTGGTCGTGCCAAACCACGTGGCTTTGCTTCACCCAAACGTTCTGCCAAATTCAAGAGCGCTTCATAGTTTTCGGTTTCATTTGAATCGTTCGAGCTTATGTCATGTTGACCGAATTGTGTGACTGGTAACATTGCACTGCAAAAAAGTGGAACATTTCAATTTGAGTTCAGTTTGAATGCATCACTAAACTTGACAAAGTGTTGATATATCAGCCACTTTCACTTACAGGAAATTCAACAAAATGCCTGAATTGATAATTTGACCGGTCTGGATTGGCACATTGTGCGGTTGATGCATGCGATTTTGGTGCATGGGACCCGGATGATGATGATGATGCGAGTACGAATGGTGCGTTGTTGGTGTCCAAACATTTTGAAACGAGTATCTCCAATTGCGGCGCATATCTTGTGTGTGGGCACCATCGTTGCCAATGGCAAAGTTACGTCGCGTAGTGGTCAGACGACGTCGATGCATGAGATCCATTGGACGATTTTCGGGAGCTGATATGAAAATCGGTGGCGCCTGTGTCACATGCGTCATTTGCGATGAGGAATGTTGAAGGTGAGCTGCGGTTGCAGTCAAATGTATCGGCGTCTGTGACTGGCCATGATGATGATGGTCCAAATTCTCCTTTTTCAACAATGTTTTGCACACAAAATACGAACAAAATAAATTAGTTAAACGCTTCATTTTTTCCGTGTCAGTTGGCTTGTATGACAGTGACACAATTGAACGAGTCAGTTAAACGTATTGATTGATAAACCAATGTGTACTGTTATTGTTTTGCACATTGAAAGTGAACACAAACCTGTTGCATATGATGATAATGATTCGGTTGATGCGATTGTGGTTGCATTTGTGTCAATTGAGGTGTTGTTGCGAAGCTAGTGTAGTGGCAATTTTGAGCAAACGGCTGTGGGAATACGTTAGTGTGTACCTGGCACGGTTGCAAATGTGGCGCTCCAGGCGCAGCGGCAGCCGGATGATTGGTGCATAATGACTGAATGCGATTATCGCGAACCCATGAATGTGGCAAATTTTGCAACGATGAATTTGATATGTGTGGACCAGTTGAGTATGCCCAACCGATTGGCGGATCATGACGCAATGGTAAACTAACTGGCACTTGATTCATTTCGACCAACAATGGATTTTGCTGTGGTTGCTGCTGTTGTGGCGCTTCTGGAAAATGAAATCGATTCAAAGAATAAATCAGTATTTTTTAGCTTGAATGCAAGTGCTTCATATAATGTAATGTCTTTCGTAACATTCGACTGATGCTTCAACAGAATTCCGAGTAAAAAATCTGTTGCATAAAACTCACGCGAATGTTGCTGCTGTGGATGTGGTGGCGATGGGGTTTGTTGGAATATATTTGGAAGTTGTTCCCATGACCTTTGCTGTTGTTCACGCAAACGACGTCGCAACAATGGACTATGCTGATGGCCATGATTCTGCGAACTGCGCGGTGACTGGCGATTTTCCCATGACGATGTCGGCGATTGGCGAGTGGAAACACGTCGACGCTTTCGTGATGGACTGTCCGATTTGATGTCATACGTTGATGTTGATGCCGGCCGTGATGAGTTTGAACCATTGTACTGCGGGCTGATTCGGTCGCGTCCACCATTCATATTGCTATTACCACTACGGCCTGAATCCGATCTTGTATCAATATGAAGCTCGTTTCGCGACTGTGATGGTCCAGTTTGCTGCACGACATAGATTAGATTTTAGCAATTAGAACAGATTCAAAGACGCAGAAAAAGAAAATGACGCTCATTTTCTTACCGAATACCGATCCATAGACATAGCACCCATACTTTGACGTCGATCACGATCTGATGTCCTATCGTGTCGCCTGTCCGAATGACTAGGTCCAGCTCTACTAAAAAATAAAGTAGAAAACTCCGTTATCAAATCCATTACGACTAAACAGAACGGTCGAGTTGGTTTTCATGGAAGAGAATGTGATGATATGGAGCCCAAATGAATTTCAATGCACAGCAATTTATTACGGTAAAATGGATATCCCAGAACGCATGAACACACTGTGTGTGATCTGTTGTTTATTTGAAATCGGAGATGGAAACTATGTGCACTCAAACTGTGTTGCGTTGACGTACATATTGAATTACTTGATTGGCTCGAACATTCTGCGAATTCGAAATGTGTTTGATGTAGCTACCGGTAGCTTCATAAAATGAAAAAATCGTCTACTCTGTAAATGTACACGCTCAAATTGTTCATTCTCTTCATTGCAGTATTTATCGGGCTTCAATATCACATTGCCACGAATCTAACTCTTCCGGATTTGATTGCATATTGAATTTTAGATCAGAATATTGACAAAACGAGCGAAAAAAAGGAGAATAAAATGTTTCTTTTAAATCGTTGCCATTTTATAATTTGAGCTCACCCGTGTGAATAACATCCATCCGAGTCTTTGTTGTTGTTATTGTTGTTTGGCCCATTGCCTCCGTTATTATTGTTCGATGAATTATTGCCACCGTTGTTATGATTATGGTTGTGATTGTTATGGTTTGAATAGAGCCGCTGGCGATTTCGCGGGGCCAATCCACGTGAAAACAATCGCCGACTGTGAAATTAAATTATTTGTGTGTTGTTATTATGTAAGAGGAAATATTCTAATTTCGATCTTAAAAATCATTAATATTTTATTGAAATCAAGCGGAAAGGTTCCACAGAATCTCCGTCGATGTAATAGGGTAAAAGGATTTAACTGTAATATTACCTGGGCAGGTGGCTCGAATGGTTTGAACTCATCATTGCGATTGCTGTGTTGCGACGTGCAATCGCTAGTGTAACTAATGCTGATGTTATTGGTACACTAGTAATTGGCGGTGCGATTTGTGCTGCAGTTTGTATTGGCAATGGCGTCCAACAAAACCCATGAGCTAGTATAGTGACGGCTTTACGACGTACTACAAAGAATGAAAATCTGTAACGAGAGAGAGAGAGAGAAAAAGAAAAATGCAAATGAATTATTTAGACGTCACGTAAACGCTATTTGCTATTACTATTACTATTCAATACAAATTAATTCGTTCTACATGATCCAATGTGACCTCTGTCAGTAGCTCAATAGTATGGCAATAGAAGCTAGCAAAGACATCGAAACACACTTCATTTCTATATATAAGCTGTTTTTTTTTCTTCTCCTTCCCCACTTTAAATTGCCATGAATTGGGTATTTTCTACATTATCAACGAATATCGGCAAAGCAAAGTGCGGAAATGATTATTATGGTTCGTTTCTATCATAATTTCGTTTTAACAATTACACATTCGTTCGATGTTATATCGCAATTACGATAGCAGATAATTGCATAACCATACTTTGTTCTTTTTTGCAATCGGGTCGAACGTTATCGTGAGTCCGATGCATTCCGGTGGGTAAACGAATACATAAATCACATTATTTCATTGTTATCGATTGTTCAAATGAAAAATTGTCAAGAATGTTTTTGACAAGAAAATAACGTTGAGACATGAACACCATACTTTTTTTTCTCAGAGACACAATTTTAATTATTCACCATATCACTGAATATTTAATGCATATGCGGCGATGACAAAGTGTTACACACACAGTCACAGACTCACACAAACACACATATGAGCAATGTTTGACGTTTGGATTACGGGCTTTCAGTCCATAGCTTATCCAAATTTCATGACGTTTCCAAAACGAGACTTTTTCTTCGAAGCACATACAAACGTTTTCGAAGATAGCTCTAGCCACGGAACGGTGTAATCGACACAAGGACATTTAAAAACAAACCTCTGTACTCGATAAAAAGGTAATTGAAGACAATTTGCGGTCTATTTATGTGAAGAATGCTTGAATAAATTATCGATGTATATTGTGTGTTTGTGTGTATTGGAAAAACGCCCAACGAAATCTTAGAAGTGTATATTGATTTTCGTTTGTGCAATAGCACATCACAAATATTACTGTTTGGATGTTCGATTGGCAATATTAAATACATATTGACTGGTTGGATAAATAACAATTTAAATTCTAACGACTGTAAAATGGCCAATCGTGTCGCAGAAAAACATCGTAAAAATTAGCGTAATCAAACGTCGGATCCCAATGGCTTTTTATGATAATTTGCACGCAGAACCGAATTGAAAAGAAACAGTACAAGGCACGTCACGCATTTAACATTTGACATTGAGGCCGTGAGCATAAACAATTTTATTGTTCGTCACTTTTTTTGACCATTCGCACGGTCGTCGTAGCGTTTGTGCTACGACAAAAAAGAAGAAGAGAGGAATGTACGACGTACATTCATCGTCCAGTGATTCAAAACGATATACAACTTCAATGTCATTCGGTTTGGAATTTTGTGGCAAACCAAAGTTAACAACTCATTCTCAGCCGAAAAAGACATTCTCAAATGAAATTCTAACCAACTGGTTCAAGGGAGGTCTTCCTGCATCATCTTACTCATTCTCGGTAACATATTACTCATTGTAAATGTCCGAACAAATGTACGTCTCGTTCTATATGAACGCAAGGCAATGCACTGCGAATGAATGTGATGTAATTTTTTTCCCACATACATTTTCATACTTTATTAAAAGGAATTTAGTCTCAGATCTTTAGCCGTAGCCATTATTTTTTATCGTCGTTGGAATTAATTATTTGTTTAAGCTCGACATTTATTAAATGGGAGGCCCAAGATCCTCTCATTAAATCTACTTAATTTCCTATTTAAACGAGATACACTTGTGTCCGCTGTATCGTAATTTTATCTTAAATGGCAATCGGAGCGTTGACATGGCATACGGAGGCAAAATTGAAACCCCCTGTCCGAACAACATTGAAATCAACTTTCCTAATTTCCGTAATTGGTTTTTGCCTGTAATACGGACTATGGATGTTAGTGCATTGATTGAAGTGCGTAATTAACGAATATTGTTGCAACCGTATAGATTTTAGCTAAGTTTTGTACTTTGGCTGTGCCTGTGCCACAGCTCAAATAGCGAAAACGATTCGATTTTCCGTCGTTACCAACCAAACGACCAAAAAATAACATATAAATGCAATTTCAAGTTAATAGTTAAACAATGGACGATTGTATAGAACTTTATGAGTCACTGCGTGTGTGTGTAAATCGACCTAAATTAGTTTGATACATACTCTGACGACCAATGGCTAAACTCGATAACTGGTTGAATATACAATACAGTGTTCATTGCTAACTTTGAACTGTTCAATTGTATCTGTATGTGTGTGTTTGTATGTGGTTGTTCGCTTCTATATATATCATCTTGGTGAAAGAGCTTTGAACAGGGCTGTTTTTTTTTATTAAAAATGTATGCACATTGTTTGGATTGGGTTACCCTGCAATTTGAGCCTTCATCGAGGTCTAATCATCAAATAACTCATTATGAACAATGCAGCTTTGCACATTCCATGTAATCAACTAGGCTGAAGACAGTCATTTGTCAAGCAAAAATCCGATTTTTCTTCGCATTTAATAATTAAATGTAGCACAAAAAGGCATTTCGGATGCGTTCGGTTGACACTGTTTCGTGATTCAGTCAAACGTGACTCAGCGGAACCAATGACCATATCGAATCAAATATGAAATTCAAAAAAAGAACAAAAACACATTTTTTTCCTCTATTCAATACTTTTAAAATTCATGTTGACACTTTCAATGGCACAACGAAAAATGACGATTGAATATTTTTTTTCCCAGACAGAATATTGCCCGAAGTTTATATATGCGCGCTACAAAAACATGTTCTATGTGTCTATGTGTGCCGTGTGTGTGTGTTTTTTTTCCCATTTTGTGTCAATCAATTCCAGTCTTCAATTTCAATAAAATCGCCCATTTTGGCTTCATGTCAATATTTGGAAAATGCAAATGGTCACGTTTCAATGAAGGCAAACAAAAAAAAAACTTGATAAAAAATTGAAAAATGTGAAGCAATAACAAACCAAATGGGGTTCGTTTGGACGCAAAGTGAAGCCACATATTGTTCAAATAATTGCTCATTTCCCATTTTCTTAGAAGCCCATCGAATGATTAATGTTTTATTGATTGAAGCAAGCCAATTTAAATTGGAATCGCAAGAACCGCTCTGTCTTTGGTGTCTCACTCATCCACACACATACTACAGTGGAACAACTGTTTAACGAGAATTAAATCAAAATCAATGCATTTTCCATGGCTTTTTCCATTCAATTATTGCTGTGTGCATGTATGTATCCATCAGCTGATTTTCATCATCATCATCATCCACGATGGAATCGAACAATTCAGCGGATTTAAATTTAATTTCGAGCACGGTTTGTTGAAGCGATTTAAATTGAATCCAAAATCATATGTGTGCTAGTTAAATACCAAGTGGCAGCACATAAGCCGATAGCGACTAAGTGACGTGTGAATGTGAGTGCTATAATTGTACGTATTCTCGTAATAATCGTTGAGCGTATTTCGTTCCGTTTTTCATCTGAGCAATCAACATTTTAGGCAAATAAATCCGTGTGCTAGATTCCACCTCATTTGAATACACTACGAAGCCAATTGATGAGTGCAAAGCGTACAAAGAGGCAGAGGCAGAGACAGTGGAAAGAGATTCATTGGTGGCATCATGAGTAGCTCGTGAGTGTGCATACATTGTCTTCAATTGAAATTACAAAAGCACCCAAAAGTGTGTATGCGCGCGCCTGTGTGTGTGTTCGTTGGCCAAAGCAAAACGATTCACGATGATGGTTCACTGCCAAACCAACTGTAATTCTAATGTTAGTTTACAACAGCGCGAACATACAGATATATGTAAAATACAATACATTTAGTCCAATTGCATTTGTTTCAACATGTACCAACCATTCGAAGGCAATGCCTTCCAAATCGGCTGGGTGTGTGTATATGTCTTTAATATGTAATGAAGTGATATCAACGCACGCTGTCAGAATTTCTATTAAAATACACACATGCACAGGCACACACATGTGAGCGACGCTCAACCACAAAATGCAAAACACTCGGTGCCTAATTTCGATAAGCAAATCCAGTTTGTTTGAGCAACAAGATTTTCAACAGTTTCGTAATAATGAAACTTCTAGAATTTGTGGTCGACGACGGCGACGACAACGACGCTTTCAAAAGGAAACTGCGTTGCTTTCAACATTTTTGCTCAGGCTCTGCCATCAAGATAAACATTATTTACTGCGCACTGTTAAAACCGAGTCGACATTACGAACGGACCCGCTCGACCAAACAAACGAACGAATAAACGAATGGCCTACCGATATAGCCAAATAAATAAATTATTATAAGTTCGACCATACGAAACGATATTCCCTTTTTATTTTTCGAAAAAAGAAATAAGCGCTTTGATTATGCCTCGCTTATGCTTTTATTTCTCGTTTGCAGCAAGTTTCTTTTCCTGTGCACGATTTTGTTTTCATTGTGTGCTGAAGTTCGTTTCTTTTTTTTCGTTTGCCGTTTGTGCTGGTTCATTTCGCTAGACTTTTCCCGTCTTCGTTTTCGCATACGTTTCGTTTTGTTTCGCTGTATATTTAATGATTTACTCGCGCGATAGTTTCGCTTTTTTTCCCTCTACTCTCTCGCATTTTCCATCCATCTCGTTCACACCGTTTGTTCATTGTTTGGGCCGTGTGTATGTGTTTTATGCCCTCATTGCGCTAACATTGAAAAAGAAAAATTGCGCGATTCATGCTTTCGATTTTGTTTCATTCTCTTTATCTGCCATTCTCTGCGTTCGCTCGCTCGCTCTCTGTCTGCATTTCGAAATTGATTTGCATTCAATTTCATTGCAATTGACAGGCCGTGCGTATACCACACGTGTGCAATCGTTATGCGAACTCACGAACAACTCATCAGACGGTTAAATTGTCAATGTGAATTATCGATTTCAGGTCCTCGCATGCAAGTTATATGAGTGAGCAGACGTT